GAGGGTGTAAATCTTTACGGGAGTAGAAAGCCTCATCTTTCTCCCGCAGAGCAGCTAGACGAAGGTGGGTAAAAAAAAAAAACCTCTGAAAGTCTGAGGTAACTGAAAAGAAAACTGCTTTAAATTAGAAGAGACTGAGAAAAGCTTGCATCAATTTCTCCTTGTCCATCTCTACCCCCAACTTCCAATCTGTAGAATGGGATTCATATGGAATTCTAAATTAAGTCAGAGAAAATAAAGAACTATACAAGTTTGCACATCTGAAATGCATAGTTTTTGCACTCCTTTTAATCATACATTTGTTTTATTAAGAGAGATAAACAGATTGATAAAACATGAGAATATCAGCCTTTTCTAGAATTTAGGTTTTATTTGTCAGTTTGTCATACTGTGGTAGTTTGTGTGTTGCTGTGATTCTGGAAGCTATGCCACCAGCATTTTAAATATCAGCAGGGGCACCTAAGGTGGACGGGTTTCAGTAGAGCTTCCAGACTAAGAGAAAGCAGGAAGAAGGCGAGGCAGACTACTTCTGATGTCTAGGCATGGAAATCTAATGAATAGCAGTAGAACATTGTCAGATATAGGGTTGAAAGATGAAAACATTATGAATAGTAGTGGAACACTGTCAGATATAGTGCCAGAAGATGAGGTCCTCAGGTTAGAAAACATTTAAAGTATGACGGGGGAAGAGCTGCCTCCTCAAAGTAGAGTTAATTGTGATGATGTGAATGGAGTAAAGCTTTTGGGACCTTCATTTGCCAATGGGGCACAACTCAAATTAAGAAACAGCTGCAAATACCCATTAATAATTGCAACATGGAATGTATGAAGTAAGAATCTAGGAAAATTGGAAATTGTAAAAAGTTAAATAGAATACATAAAGAATGATATCTTAGGCATTAGAGAGTTAAAATAGACTGGTATTGGCTTTTAAAAAATTTATATTCCAATCACTTTTTTTTTTTTAATTTAAGGTTTTTATTGTGGATTGAGTGAAAGTTTACAGGGCACATCATCAGTTTCACATTCAGCAATTCATATAACTTGTTTCATTACATTGATTATAATCCCCTCCATATACCATCAGTTAAAAGTATTTCTCTCTATCCACTTTAGCTT